TTAGTAACAGTCTGTAGAGATGCAGGAAATAAATGATACAAATCTGACATTTAAACGTGGTTATTCAGATCGCCCAAGTGTTTCCCTGTAATTCTGAACACCGGTGGTTTGTATACCTGTTGTCCACTCCACTCCAGGCTCTGCCCCGTGAGGAGGTGTTTGTGACCTCCAAGCTGTGGAACACCAAGCATGACCCTGAGGATGTTGAGGAGGCGTGCAGAACCAGCCTGGCCCACCTGGGTCTCTCCTACCTGGACCTTTACCTCATGCACTGGCCAATGGCATTTCAGTGAGCAGCTACACATTCAACAACATAACGTCTTCTTCCCACCGGCTGTTATTATGCAACCTTAGGATCAGCGTGAAGGTGAAATTCAACATATCACTTTACCTGATGCAGTCGTCTATATGTGGTTGTTTCAGGCGGGGGAAGGAGCTGATGCCTCGGCGGGAAGATGGAAGTATTTGTTACTCTGACACACACTACAGAGATACTTGGAGGGCCATGGAGAGCCTGGTTGATAAAGGTTTAGTCAAGGCTATAGGAGTGTCCAACTTCAACGCCAGGCAGATTGATGATATCATCAGCATGGCTCGGCACAGACCAGTAGTGAATCAGGTACAATGATTAAGCCAGAACTGAATTAGAATTATGTCTCAGAAACAGAAACAGGCTTGAAATTGTGAATAAAAATATCTCATTGCACCACAGGTTGAATGTCATCCTTATTTGTCTCAAGCAGATCTTCTGTCACACTGTCGGTCAGTGTAATGTCTTTTTTCTGAGATTTATACCATGAAGATATTGTTCCTGTTGCATCAGTAACAGTGCTCGTACCTCTGTCTCAGGTCAGTGGCGGTTTGTGTGACAGCTTACAGTCCTCTGGGCAGTGGAGACAGACCCTGGGCCTCTCCTGATGAGCCAAGCCTGCTGGCGGATCCTCAACTGGGAGCCATCGCCCAGAGATATCAGAGAACGCCTGCCCAGGTTATACTCAGGTAGGCCAGGAAAACTTCAAAGTAACCCACAAAGCACAGGGCTGACCCATTTCTCAGCTTCTGTTGTAAATTTGGATTACTTCCGCATAAGTGAAACTCCATCACGACATGCAGGTGGCACATTCAGAGGGGCGTCGTGTGCATCCCCAAAAGCGTGACGCCCGCCAGGATCCAGCAGAATTTGAAGGCGTTTGATTTTTCCTTGTCACAAGAGGACATGAAACTGATTGAATCCTTCAACCGCAACCAGCGTTTCATCGTTCCATCAGTCGAGGTGAGTCACTGATCTTATGACACCTCGCATTTCATAACCACCTCTCCCCCACAGACCGCCTGCTGAGCTCCAATTTCTTATGTTTATATATATAACGGCCACATCAGTCCAACACATTAGCTGCTGCAGACTTCCTCTGGGGCAGACACATGGCTGAAACATCAGACGGTTTTAGATTTCACTGACTCCGATATGCACAGTAGTCACACTGTTTATAAGAGGTGCACAGTGCTGTGTTTTGGGTCAGCTGGGTGCAGTTATTCTCTGCTGGATGAATGATTAAAACGTAAATTGTCATGTACCAACGACAGCGCTTGTATAACCAATTTGTTTTTCCTTTCTACAGAGAGGTGGCAAGAGAGTGTGGCGAGACGCAGAACATCCTCATTTCCCCTTCCATGATCCTTACTGAGTCTACAAATGCAACAATTTACCTTTTGATTGTTGTCAAATACATTTATTTCCTCTCTTTGAAAAGAAATGCCCTGCAATAAACACCATCTAGGTCACTAAATTTGTCAAATATTGCTGAAGGGAATGCACACAGAGCATAATAAAGAAAAAAATAAAACACGATACCACTGCATTAAGTTTTCTGTCACACCCAGAGTGACACTGTGTGGTCAGGAACAGAACTGCCTCTCTGGTGACAACACCTTCGATCATATGGTGCCTGCATGTTTTTACTCCCTCTGCAACAGACCTC